CAGCTAAGGCTTCTGGTTTATGTGCGTCTAGCGTGGATCTTAGCGGGGGTCGAGTAGAGGCATGTAGATCGTTTGATCACCGGCCAAAGTATCTCAGAATTCATCACAGATTGCTCCAAACATTTCTGCAATATTTGGTCCGCCACTCGATACAACCCCAAACAGTGCCCAAACGACGCTCTCACGTTGTTGACAGTACCAAGAAGCAACTCTATCCGCAGACTGTCTGGTGTCACTCGTTCGCCAGCTCCCGATGGGGTAAATAAACACAAACCTTTGGAATAGTTCAAAGTGTCTTCTTGTTCAAGTAGTGACCAAGAAACGTCAGGCAGACACTTTAAAACGCGTTCAGCAGTGAGTCTTAAAGGTATGAATGTGTATTTCGACAGTCACTGACTATAATGAACATTTTCAAATGATTTCCAGTGACACATACCGACCAGGATGCAAGTACTAGTTTGTACTACTTGATGCTAACACAGAATGGAAATTGCCATTAGCGGGCGTATTAATTTAGCATCACAAATTCTGTATTTTTTACTTGAAAAATGATAAATTTTACTTCACGATGTTGGATTAAATTGACTGATCCTCAAGTTGTCTTTACAGTCTGTAACGCTACAGTTGTGTCACCTGTCACTGATGCTTTCTTCTTCTTTTGTTATTTAATGGCGGTTCACAAACAGCTTTTAGAAGTTCTCCAGTCACCGTCTGTCAGTTGTACCACTTTACAACCAGCATCTGATAACAGCATCACATGAACACTTTGATGTGTTATGAAGTGTGTGTGTGTGTGTGTGTGTGTGTGTGTGTGTGTGTGTGTGTGTGTGTGTGTGTGTGTGTGTGTGTGTGTGTGTGTGTGTGTGTGTGTGTGTGTGTGTGTGTGTGTGTGTGTGTGTGTGTGTGTGTGTGTGTGTGTGTGTGTGTGTGTGTGTGTGTGTGTGTGTGTGTGTGTGTTTAAATTTAACTTCAGGTTGTGAATCCAGTTTCTCAGAATAAGGTTGGCCGTCGAATGGCAGCCGTGTTAGATATCTTGTCTGGGAGCAAGGCTACACTTTCAAGGTGTGCGATGGCAGCACTGCGTGTCTCCATCTCTATTTAGGGAAACTCTGGCGTTCCATCTCGGAGTTCATTGCTTCTTAGAAAACCCCCCCTCCTCCCTTTTCCAGCTTTGCAGTTCCAATAATGTCTTCCAGATGACCAGTTGTCCTACATGCAGTTTTGTGTGTTCTGTGGTTTGGAGGACTTTGGTGAGCCAGATCCCTTCACACGCAACATGCCAGCCTGTGAGCTCGGCCGGCCAAAGGGGATGTGGATTTGGAAGAAGTGGTTCATTATTTGCCTGATTGAACGCTCTCTGGGTGGAAGAGGGCTGGTTTCTTTTTGGTAATGGGTAGCACGCATGCTTCAGCGCGACTGGTAGATGCGCCGCTTTCATGCCTGATTCAAATTTTTTTTATAATTTTTCACGGCAAGCGAGAAAGAAAAATATGGTAGCTAGAAAGGCTTCCATTCATAGTTTCTCTGGATTTTGAAACTGCAGACTCGCCGCAGAACAGTTGAGCCTTTCAGAAAAAAGGGCAGTTTCAAAATATGCCTTCCCAAATCCAAATAAAATCCCTGCCAACCCCTTCATCCTTTCATGTCCACACCTGGATGCAGAGTTGTGAGGGGGGGAAAACTCAGACCTGGCTTACCTCATATCACAGGGTGTTTGCTTAGCTCCCTGGTTCACCAAAGCCCAAACTTTTAGTGTTGTAAATACTCACCTTTTTACTTTTTGAAGGCAGTCGTTTGGTCTCGTGCCCTGCAGTCCTTTTGAAGGTTGGAGCAGTTTGTAAGTCATGCCGCCAAATCAACCTTTGCTGCTTCAGATGAATCACAGCCCTCTCCGTTTAACGCCCCATGAACATTAATCACAGCTTCTGAGCTGGTCGTTTCAGTTCACTGCAGGACTGTTTTGCTCTCTGTTTTTTTGTGCTGTGTTGACCTGGAACTTACCTAAATTATGTACCCAACAACACCCTCTTCATTGAGACCACTCAACTCAGAGTAAACAGGCCAAGAAAAAAAAATCCCCTTAAAGCCGCTGTGTTCTGAAAAGAGCCAGAAGGAAAGAGACAATAGCTTCGCTCTGTCATGATTACTGTGCATTTTTCTCTAAAATGAACATCCACCAACACAAAGCACCTCTGTACTCTCACCCTGTGGGAGATATTTTTGTGTTTATTCCCAGTCATCAATCAAAGAAAAGCTCTTAAATCAGAGCCCAGCTGATAAGTCTGTTGGCGGGTAGAACCTGCCAGCAGTGTCTTATCACAGGCACGTTGATATCCGCGTATGTTTGCCAGTAAGTGCACATTTTATAAGTCCTTTTTACCGAGCAGATGAGTCAGAAAACACAACTCGGGTTGATTTAGAAATGATGTCAGAACGTAGTTTGTCCAGCAGACTGTGCTCACTCCATAATTTACAACACTCTCAGCACTGTCTGCTGCACATGTAGACCAACAGAGCTGAGCCGACAGATGTCCACACCAGAATCTGCTAACGTATCCCTGAGTGTAAATACTTATTTAAAAACAAAAACTAAGATATAGCTATATTCATTTAAAGGTCCAATCAGTGAGATGTGTAGTGAGTGAAATGATAAAGGTATCTTACCTTTTAAGGTATCTTATCTTACTATATGATCAGACATTAAGGAAACATGTGTTGGGGTTGTATCAAGTCAACTTTGGTTATATTCTTTAATAATTATACTTAATTATTAATAATATAAATAAAATATCATTAAACTATGTTTAATCTCGTTTTGGGGCACCAACCTGTAATCAGGTAAATATAACCAAAATATCACTCAAATCAGTCTCAAATTAATTATTTAATTACTAATATTATTAATAATGAATAACTATATTTAATAAATTGAAGGCGTGAAATCCGTACACAAAGCCTTCGCACCCAGCTTATATCACAATGCAAATACACCAGTAACCACAAACAACTGCTCTCTTAAATTATAACAGAATTTATTTAAACAAAGCAACATCAATCCAAAATCAATTAACTTAATTAAGCTGATTTCTTAGAGAGAGGGAGAGAAGGGGGGGGGGGGAGATTACTTCGTCCCACGTGGTCGCCCTTCCGATGGCGCACACCTAACAGAGGCCTAAATGTGGCCTTAAGGTCTAAAAGAGACTGAGTTCGGCCCTACACGATCTGTGTCTCTGAGGCGTCTGGATAGCCGCGAGTGTATAGATCTCTGTGCGTAATGGCGCGGTGGTGGAGTTGGTCTCCAGATGTACGTTTACACAGGAATATGTGTGTGTGTATGTTCGTAGAAGGGGAAATAAAAGAGAAATGCGTGCCTGAAGAGGCCGGATCACAGTCCGACTCCCGCGCCACAACTCGGAGTAATTCCCTTCATTCACAGAAACAAACCAATAGCCGAATTCAAGTTAATACAGCTTACACTGGCCTTTCTGATCAGAAGAGTAATACCCGGTTATAACGCTGTTACACTAAACACATATAGGACGCAGCGGTTCGAAACAACAACAAGAGTTTTAAACAGGTAAAACTCAGGACGCAGCGGTCCAACAAAGATAAAAATTACAGTTTCTGCTTCGATCAACAATTGTTAAAAACACTCTCTAAAGCTAATTCTGCCCAGACCTAATTAAGCCTCACTTGTGAATCGCTTTGCCCGCGATTGGTGAAAGGAAAAGAGTCTGGCGATAAAACAGATCTTCTGTCCGTCCTGGTGCAGAGGCGTCTGATGGCGGCGAGGGTCCCTTACGGCGAGAGCGGCTTCGTTGGTTCTCCGTCGAGTGGAAAGATGTCCTTTGATGTCCTTTCGTTGCAGGACGGAATAAGACCGTTATCTTTCTGATAATCTGTTATAGTCTGACGCTCTCCGAGAAACTGAGATGTGTTCACTGGACAATCCGAGCTCGGAATTTAGAACACTGCCGGCCGCGGATTACCTGCGCGCCAAAAACTTAAAACAAAGGAAGATGGTTGCAGGAAACAGGAGATAAGCTTGGATCTCCGAGCACCAGAAGTCAGCGCGTGGAAAGAGAAAGAACAATGGAAGTCTTGGAGTTTTGTAGCCTGGCCTGCTCCATGGGGGGTCTACCTCAGGTCCCCTCCAATGAGGAGAGAGAGGTTCCGGTCCCCCCCTTACTTCACGCGTAGGTGTGAAGTACCGCAGGGGATTCTGGGATTAAGAGTCCTTTTAGGCCTCTTTGTGATCTCAGTGAATAACTCAAATGAGGCTTTTACAGAGGTGCAGGCCCAAGTCCATTGTTTGACTGTCCTAAGCCTGTGGCCCAACACATGCTATGTTGAAGTGCTGGCTTCTCTGACAACAATGCAGCAGCCAGTATGTCCTCCTTCTAACTTTACATTCTGCTCCTGAATGCTCTGGATTTGTTTAGACCAGAGAAGGTAGGCGCTTTTAAGAAACCCCCACACATGGCCGTTTTGGATGCCCCTCGGTTTGCCAGATATGAGAGCAGTTATCAGGTCAACAGGTGTTGCAGTGATGGAAGCGGTCAAGAGAAGTGGTTCAGATAGAAGTGATTGTACCCGACCTAAAAAGCCTCTGCATGTTTCTAATAAGCTCCACGAGCAGAAACGTGCTCAAACTAGGATCAATATTGGAGATGCTTTTGAAAAATGGAGAGAGGTTAGAACACAGAAAGGTTTACAGACCCATGCAGAGCTGGGTGGGGGGGTGGGGGGCTGTCAGGATAACCTCCTAGATAGAAATATTCAGCTGTTTGTGTTCACACATGCAGCCCAACCTGAAAATTTCAGGAGTGTTTCTTGAGTTTGTGCCAGTGTGAAAGCACTAACAGTGTTCATTGTTTAGCTGTCAGTCGGTGTGTTTGTACGGTTTCCATTGTGTAATAGATAGTTTCACTGCACTCAAACCGAGCAGGCTGGTGACATATTCTTCACGGTGGGTAACAATCTGTCATTATCTCCTCCAGGCTGCAGTCTGCTGGACCTGACGGAGCAGTTTTCCCTCCCTGAGACAACTCCCCCCTTGCTCGCCAGACTGCTGGAGTCTGTGGAGAAGAAAGGTGAGGCCTCTGACTGCCACCTGCTGCACAGAAACAAATGCACCCAATTCACATGGGAATAGTTATGTCACTGATTTATATCTAATGATTTGTGTCTCGCTTGTTTTTTGCAGGTCTGGATAATCCTACGTTGTATCGAACATTCACTGCTGGCGGTGGACTTGAAGTCAGACAGTATTTTGATTGCGGTGAGCATCTTCTTTTTCTTGCCGTGTGAAACCTTCTAGTTTCCATTTACTGAGTGTGTCTGAGACGATTACAAAACAGAGGAAGTCTAAAAAAAGGACCCACGTCAGTAATGAAGACAGATAGAGTGAGGTGACTGAGAAACGTGTGTGTGTGTGTGTGTGTGTGTGTGTGTGTGTGTGTGTGTGTGTGTGTGTGTGTGTGTGTGTGTGTGTGTGTGTGTGTGTGTGTGTGTGTGTGTGTGTGTGTGTGTGTGTGTGTGTGTGTGTGTGTGTGTGTGTGTGTGTGTGTGTGTGTGTGTGTGTGTGTGTGTGTGTGTGTGTGTGAGGCTGCTTTGTGAAGCCGATGTCGCAGCTTTAAATGTGTTTACCTGTGCATGATAAACCTTTTCAGCCTGTAATTAAATAATGCACTGTGCAGTGAAGGAGTGTTTGCATTAAAGCACGTGTCTCCCATGTTTTCCTTCACTTCAGATCCTGCCTCAGCAGACCTGGATCAGTTTGAACTTCCCGTCCTGTGTGATGGTCTGCGCAGGTACCTGCAGGATCTCCCTCAACCCATCATCCCCACTTCATTGTACGCTCAGATGGTTCACACTGCCAAAGGTGAGCGCAGTCAACTCTTGCACATTTTCATTTGCAAACCAGCACAGTTGACCTAAAACTCAAGCGCTGACGTAACAAACCCCAGCTATTGCACATTCAGTACTTTGCACACAAAACCACAAGATCTCGTCAGCACCATGTGGCCCTCATAGAAGACCTATAAAACTATACAATCTTTTTTATTGCTGTGCTAAAAGTGTATTTTTTTCCCCCCCATTTACTCCAAACTTAGTGTTTGTCTTGCTTTCGGTGTTGCATGCACAAAGTTCTCACACCACAGCATGTTCTGCAGCGCTGCGTTCTTGTGCTGTCACATGGCCAGAAACAGGATATCGGTGGTTAATAGGAACTAAAACAAGCCTGAAAGTTTATCTCCAGCATCTCGAGGCAGCCAATCACCTGCCAGTGTACCTTACGCTCATTGTCAACCACACTGTGGTTTCTAAACTGCACATGACACTCTTTCCATCCCTTCCTTTTTTTTCTTTCAAACATTTTCTCGAGTCTTTGCTCCCCTGAGTTTTTATGCTCAGATCGGTTTCTCACATCTGTGTCTCTGACCTCCTCGTGGCCATTTTTCTCGTCTGTGTCAACAGAGGTGGTGAATCCTGAGGAATGCGCCCAGCTGCTGCGTCGCATCGCCAGCACCCCGAGCCTGCCTCCACAGTACTGGCTCGCCCTCCACTGTCTGCTCAGGCATTTCGCTAGAGTGTGCCAAAACGGCCCCAAGAACCTGCTCAGCGCCAGAGCTCTGGGAGAAATCTTCAGCCCCGTGTTTTTCAGACAACAGACCACCAGGTGGGTGTGCGAGAGCAGCTGCGATCATCATCACCCCCGGTCTGTGAAAAGATAGACAGCAGACAGACAAGTGTGCAGGCTCAGTCCTGCAGCGCTGATACACACTGACTCTCAAACATGCACACACACACACACACACTCATCAGAGCGCAGGCTGTTAGTGCTCTCATGGCTTTCAGCAGTACACGGATATAGGTTGGGGCTTTTCTACTTACCAGCTGTGCTGCACAATTAAAGTAGCTAAGCCAGATTCAGCATCAGATTGAAAGCAGGGCACAGCAGCAGGGCTGGCTGTCACCTGGCCTATAAAACACTCACTTTATTTAACTTTCCTTTTTCCCCCCCTGTTTCCTCCCACAGTTGTGAACCCAGCTCAGATGCTCACATCAAGATCATTGAAGTTCTGGTGACCAGTGAATGGAGTGAAAGCCAGTCAGCTCCAGGTAATGAAATACTTTTTTTTTTTAAAGTATCACTCTTTAACTTTTTGTGGTGAGGGGTTTGGGTTGCATTCATTATCTCCTGCAGAACATGACATGTGTTCTGCTGGACCAAAAGGCTGCAGAACATGACATGTGTTCTGCTGGACCAAAAGGCTGCAGAACATGACATGTGTTCTGCTGGACCAAAAGGCTGCAGAACATGACATGTGTTCTGCTGGACCAAAAGGCTGCAGAACATGAGCATCCTGAAATATTAATAGCTTTGAAGAAAGGTGTTGAGACTTGCAACTGCTGCAGTTGTAGGGGAGGTTGCAGGGTGCCCTGTTGGAGGGCGAGTTACTGACTCTTGACTTGTTTTGCTGAAGCAAAGTAGAGACTGCTTTGTCATGTGCTGGTCAGTGGGTACATGCTTTTAAACTGCAACACGTTTCCTCATTTTCTCAGTGACACAACAGTCGAAAAGGCATGGTTTGAATTTGAGCTGCAGAGGATGTGTGCTTCGACTTCGCAGTGTGCAGGCTGCAAAAATAAAATGAGCAGAAATGTTAAAGAAATGGACACTGCACAAAGTCCCTAAAAGAACAAGTACAACATGGCAGTATGATTCATTCAGTGAATTAATTGAATATCTGACACGTCTATGTTAATGTGTTAGAATTAGCACAGAAGCAAAATGAAGGACCTTTAACATTTTACAGTTAAACGACAGACCCACGTACAATTAGAGCAAGGCACTTATAGGAATTTTCTTTGTTTTAGACAAGGAATGAAACTGAGCAAGTGCTCGATATGACAAAATGGACATTAAGTAAAAAGTGCCGTCATTACAAGAAATCAGCTTTATAATTATAGTTTTAAAAAGAGCTGAAATATAATGAATACCATCAGATGGAAAATTACAAAAACAGCGACAACATGAAATGAATCTGTCATGAGAAAAGAAACCTCACAGGACTGATGAGAATCCCTTGAAGAAAGGTGGTTATAAAAGTTGGTCGAGTTGTTTTTGTGTCTTTTTAAATGTCGAGGTACAAAAGGTGATAATTGGTGAATGGAACGAAGGACAGAAAGTTGACCACATTAAGTTTCACTCTCTGCTTCTTCTTTTTTTCTGTTCTTGGTTGCTGTTGTCAGTTTTGCAATATGTCAAACACAAAGCCTAAGAAAGTCCGTTTCCATGGCTGCTCTGCAGAGGCCGAGCTCTTGTGGTGTGCGTGTGTGAGTTTGTGCGAGTGTGGTGCATTGCGTGGGACACTTATGTTTTTACAGTGCTAGTTAAAAGCACTGTCGTTGGCCGGCCCAGAGGCCCAGGTCTGGCTGTGGCTGTTTAAACATTTTATTACCTGTTAGGGTCTATTTATAACGTCCCTGTGTATGGTCCACTCTCAGCTGTCGGTAATTTGCACCTGCGGGTGCGCTGTGCTCGCTGGATGGATGGATGGATTGAAGGGCGGCCAGGCAGGCAATACTCCAAAAACTCTGAGACACTTATTTGACACACACACACACACACACACGACCGAGTTAAACATATGACAGAGTTACTGTGTGGCAGACTGGTTTCAGTCACCTGTCTCAGTGTCACCAAGAAGAAAGAAAGAAAGAGAGAGAGAGAGAGAGAGAGAGAGTGTGTGTGTGTGTGTGTGTGTGTGTGTGTGTGTGTGTGTGTGTGTGTGTGTGTGTGTGTGTGTGTGTGTGTGTGTGTGTGTGTGTGTGTGTGTGTGTGTGTGTGTGTGTGTGTGTGTGTGTGTGTGTGTGTGTGTGTGTGTGTGTGTGTGTGTGTGTGTGTGTGTGTGTGTGTGTGTGTTGTGTGTTCTCCAGTTACTGCCTGACTATTTTAAGTAAGCGACAAAAGGCCCACTTAGATTTGGTTGGCTGGAAAGTCGGCCTGCTCCACAGAGCTCTTCTTGTTAACTGAGAGCTGCTTCCAGTTTCTAGGGCCTCTCTCTCTCTCCCCCCTCCCTCCCTCCCTCCTTCCCTCCACATGTCCTCCCTGCCTCAAAGTGCCCAGCTCAGCAAATATTTGAAACTTTGCAAGTTAATCATAAGACTGAACTCCTCCCCTCCTGGCCTCCCTCCCTTCCGCCTCCTCCTTTGCAAACAGAGAAAGAGGGAGAGAGCGAGCGAGGTAGAGAGAGAGAGACACGCACACACACGTAGCTGGCACGAGCGACCGCTTTCAGAACAGGCAGCACTGACACCGGAGCAGCTACCGCTAATCATTAACTATCTGCCTCCACACGAGCAGGCCTCACAGAGCTCAGAGAGAGAGAGAGAGAGAGAGAGAGAGAGAGAGAGAGAGGGTCTTTAGCACACTCGCAGCAGGAACCTCACTCAGCTCCAACTTGTGTCGCATGTTGCACCTGCCTCACGCCGAGCGGATTACCTGGATTTCATTAAGAGGCGCATAAAGCTGCAAATTGAACAAATCCAGCTCCTCCTCGGTGGCCTGAACTATGAAATGGAGCTTTACTGCAGGACTTGAAATCTCCTCTCTTGGATTTAATTTACCTTTTGGGAATAAAAGAGACACCGCAAAGAAGACTCAACAAATCATGCACAACTTACAACGTAAGTTTCACATTACTCGCTGTTACAGGAAAAAAAAAAGTGATCATAGAGATGTGGGACAGTGTGTTTCTACAGCTGCTGCCTTCAAGGTGTAACAGAAACAGAAATTGGCCACTTGAGGTAGAATAAGACACAAATACATCAACTTAAGAAAGAACAGAGAAAAGAGTGTAATAGCTCTTAGTTTTTTCTTAGAGCCTCCAGTTGTATCTGTGAGAGAAACTGTGCCGCCTCTGGGCTGCTGCTCACGCTGTGGAGTTCTAACATATTCCTGCAGACTGTGTTTAAAAGTCTGCTTTGCTTCGGGGCATGCTGCTGTAGAGTTCAGGGAAAGTTTTTAATATTAAAAGAATCCTTAAAGTCTCCCGACAGGTTGAGGAACAGGGGAGAGTTCATATTAAAGCAAAGTATTTTAAAACCCTCCACACACTCCTGATTTTACTCTCTTGTTAAGTTCTCTAAAGAATGAGACATTTTAAAGACTTTCATGTTAAAAACTTTCAGATTTTTTATTCCTTGTGACAAGTTTGTCACTTCTTAAGAGTGATCCTCACATGAACCTGTAAGAACAGTGGCCGCGCTCCCCCTCCAATCCTTTATACCTTACTGAGAACTGGGTCTATTTTAATTTCACTCAGGATATCAGGGGAGCTATCTCTGTCATGCCGAGTGTCACGCTGTGGGATTACAGGCGTATTTCAGAGCGCCGGGTGCCGCTGACCGGGGCTCAGGCATTATAATTTAGCTGCGTACGTGCTGCTGCAGCAGAGCTGGCTTTGTCTGAGTGCCAACAGTGGGACGGACTAAAAAACCTTCTGCACGACAGACGTAGGGAGGAGGGGCCGAGCAAACCTGCAGGAGAGCCAGTGGCCACAGAGCGCGAGAGAGAGAGAGAGGGAGAGAGGATGACAAGAGGGAAAGCATGGAACAGGCTGCAGCTCCTTTTTTTTCCTCCTCCTCTCTGCGTGTAGAGAAACGCTGCACATTTGCTTTTAGATGGATGCATGCTGAAACAGAGCGCTGGATGCTGCAGGCACATTTATTTCCAGTTTAGCTGCAGTGTTATTTAGAATTGAAGCAGAGAGAAAAAAAAAAAAAAAAGGAGGTATCGGGCTTTCTGAATGACCTCATCGCTCTCAGGAAATGAAAGATCAGGAGCGATTGGTGACATACCCCCCCTGTGATTGGCTGTGGTAAGTGATGTAACACGTTACCGAGCAGGCTGCCCTTAATGGCTTTTCTTCTAATGGATCTTTAAGTGGTTGTTTGAATGGAAGAATAAGACTATTCATGGCAAGCTGTCGTTCTGTGGAGCTATTGTGAAGGCACTACAGGCTTTTAAGAATTAAGACATTTGTAGTAATCCTAGGATGAAATGCGATCAGGCTGGAAGGCAGCCGTGCTGAGACGGTGCAGAGGAAGCCTTGTGCTCGTGTTGCTGAGGTGGAAGGCTGCATTTTGTGCACAGATTGTAAACCTCTGCATTTTTCTGCTATGTCACAACAGTCTACAGATCTGCTGCTGCTGACTCTGGTCTCATCGAGCCGTAGTCTCACTCGGTCTATTGTAGCAGAAGGGGTGCTAATGCAGAGGGAGTGAACAAAGGCGGTGCAGATTTGTGGGTTAAAAATAGCCTGCTACCTTAGCTCTGCTTCAGCCAGTGTCTGCAGCCACTGCAGGTTCAAGATTTCCTGTAAATCAGTTAAATCAGGGTTGAAATGCTGCCTCCTTTACGTGAACAAAATGCAAATCTCAACCTCATTACATGACAGCATCACAGGCTTGATTTGTAAATTTGTTGTCAGTCTGGTTATCTAATTTGAAAGCTGGAGGCAAAACCCCCTGAAGGGGAATTAGAGTCCATCTGGGTGTTTGCTTTATGATTCTCATTCTGTCCTTTTTTTAATTTGTAAAATGTGCAAAGGGAAATTTTTACCTTCTAAAATTCAACATTCCTGCTGTATTTTTGCAGAGAGGAATATTTATAGATTTCTCCTTTTCCTGAATGAAATTCATTCTCCCTGACTCATGCTTCATTTTTCCTCCCACTGCCCTCACCCCCCCCCTCCCCCATCTTAGACGTGCTGCTATTTTCTAATCAATGGGTGAAAAAAAAAGACGTGTGAGAGTCACAGAGTGGGTGTAATCCCCTGAATCTGTGAAATGCTTTTATTACCTCATAAATCGAACATAATGGGTCTCACATTTGGCATCCAGGTGTTTTTTTCTCTGCAGCCTTACAGAAGTGCTGATGTCTGTTTTGAGTGCAGCTCAGAGAGACGTGCCACTGAGACGGAGAATCATCATCAGCGTTTAGTTGAAGCTGCGAGCGTGTTGTTTTAACATTCTGTCGACGCTCCTCTCGTCCTCGCAGCTCTACCTCCAAAGCCACCCAAGCCCGCCTCCGTGACTAACAACGGCATGAACAACAACATGGCTCTGCAAGACGCCGAGTGGTACTGGGGGGACATCTCGAGGGAGGAGGTCAACGAGAAGCTGAGGGACACCGCCGACGGTACGTTTCTGGTGCGGGACGCCTCGACAAAGATGCACGGCGACTACACTCTGACTCTGAGGTGAGGCCACTCCCCCTTTTTTCGCTCTGAAGTCACTTTCCTCCTGCTAATGTCTTCTGCGGTTTGGTTTTAATCGTTCCCCCCCTTCTGGTTTGGTTCGTTTACAGGAAAGGAGGAAACAACAAGCTCATTAAGATATTCCACCGGGACGGGAAGTACGGCTTCTCGGACCCTCTGACCTTCGGCTCCGTCGTCGAGCTCATCAACCACTACCGCAACGAGTCGCTGGCTCAATACAACCCCAAGCTCGACGTCAAGCTGCTCTATCCCGTCTCCAAACACCAGCAGGTCAGCAGCAGAGTCCTCTCCACTCACACTTAACCACGCGTTTGTTTATGATGCAATCATATTTACTTTGTCTTTTCATGATTGTGTCCTCAGGATCAAGTGGTGAAAGAAGACAACATCGAAGCTGTGGGGAGGAAGCTGTGTGAGTACCACCAGCAGTACCAGGAGAAAAACAAAGAGTACGATCGCCTGTACGAAGAATACACCAGAACGTCACAAGTGAGTACAAGCCAGCGTCAGAACTACGATTCCCAGAGTTCACTGCAGTACGAGATAAACTCAATGCTCTGCCTCTCCCTGCAGGAAATCCAAATGAAAAGGACGGCGATAGAAGCTTTTAACGAAACCATAAAGATATTCGAGGAGCAATGCCAAACACAAGAGCGGTACAGCAAGGAGTACATCGAGAAGTTCAGGAGAGAGGGCAACGACAAGGAGATCCAGAGGTAAGACGAGACAACAGGATTTAAACGTTTCATGTTTTAGGAAGTTAGAAAAAAAAGATGATATTAGAATTATGGTTTAAAATCTTTTTGCGTTAATGCTTTCAGGATCGTGGGAAACTACGAGAAGTTGAAATCCAGGATAAGCGAGATCGTGGACAGCAAACGACGGCTGGAGGAGGATCTGAAGAAACAGGCTGCAGACTACAGAGAGATCGACAAGAGGATGAACAGCATCAAGCCCGACCTCATCCAGCTCCGCAAGACCAGAGACCAGTATCTCATGTGAGTGAAGTAGTGCATCGGAGAAACTTCAAAATTCTCCCTCCGGAGGGAATGAAAGTGGGTCTGTCCTGGTTTCTGACGTCCTTGTGGTTTCTCTCTTTGTCAGGTGGTTGACCCAGAAGGGAGTGAGACAGAAGAAGCTCAACGAGTGGCTCGGAATCAAGAACGAGAACACAGAAGAGTGAGTCCTCCATTTTTTTATTTATTTAATGTAAACGGCACCAAAGAGACCAGAACATCTTCTGAACCTCAGAGCTAACCCGTGCTAACCTATGCTAACCTTCTTCTCTTCTCCTCCAGTCAATATTCTATGGTGGAAGACGACGAAGACCTGCCTCATCATGACGAGCGCTCCTGGAAGCTGGGCAACATCAACCGACTGCAGGCGGAGGCTCTCCTCCAGGGCAAGAGAGACGGAACATTCCTGGTCCGAGACAGCAGCAAAGCAGGATGCTACGCCTGCAGCGTTGTGTACGTATCAGCACGTGCTCTCATTTCAAACCTGCTCCGTTAGAGGAGACGTCGTTAACGGGTTGTCAGCTGGCCCACATGATCTTTGGAGGAGCAGGTTTTGCCAGCTTGAATCGTGCCTCCTGCTCATTTAGATCTCCTACATTTAATGTAAACAAAAATCTATGTGAAGGTAACAAGTCAAGAGTTTGAAAAAACCAAATGGATACTGAGCCTTAAAGTTTGAGTGAGAAAGCCTTGGGATAAATTCAGACTTCTGCAAATGCTCATATCGCAAAAACGATGCAATTGTGCAGCCCTGTTTTCAATTAGCCTCAGATACTTTATTCTATACATTCTATATATACTCAGAACGCTTTATTTTGCACATTAAAAAGCACTGATTTGCATAAAAAGAAAATTGAAATATGTGACTTTTATTTGCTTTTAGATAGAGCTGTTAAAGTAAATCGATTGACTCGTCTAAAGAAAACTGTTTGGCAGCTGTTTTGATAATAGTCGATAAGTCGTTTTTTAAAGAGCGGCTCCTCTTCGACATTAATGCCGCTGAATGACGAGTTTGTGTTTCTATTTTAAGTGCCGGCTAGAAGATGTCGGCGTGTTGTTCAGACTTTATTTAATAAGGATTGATTTGTCGTGGAGTTAAATGATGATAATCTGAAAGCGCTGCCCCTGTTGAACCTCTTCTTCTGAAGTGTAATGGAGATCAGTTTAGTCTGGAATGAATGAGTCTGTACAGAGAGAACACAGTTTACTGCCGTTACACTCAGAACACTCTGTGACCGCCTGTTTTGTTCTGTCTTTTGCAGCGTGGACGGCGAGGTGAAGCACTGCGTCATCAACAAGACCCCCTCAGGTTATGGCTTCGCCGAGCCGTACAACCTGTACGGCTCCTTAAAGGAACTCGTCCTTCACTACCAGCACACGTCTTTGGTTCAGCACAATGACTCTCTGAATGTGACGCTCGCGTACCCGGTCTACACCCAGCAGAGACGGTGAGGACCCCTACCCCCCCCCCCCCCCCCTCCTCTCTCTTTACCCCCCGCCTGCCTGGACGGATGTTTTCCACACGGACACGGAGAGAAAGGCCTCATGGGATTTGGAGTAGGAGATGAAAAACATCCCTGGGACTCCATGATTTAAAAAATGAACGAGGCTCTGTTTGCCGAAACTCGGACATGGGGAAAAAAAGAAAACAGAGCCTGAAACATTTCAGTGACTTTTGCTCTGACCACGAGCCTGCGGCGAGTCTGAATGTAGATTTCTTTCTCTTTTGCTTTTGTCGTGGGAGCACAGAATCAAGCGGAAACTGCTGAACTCTCCCCCAGCAGAGGACATCTGAGGCCTTTTCCTAATGGTGCTTGTTCTTTTTTTTTTTTTTTCAAAGCTTTACCAGCCGGGAATGTCTAATCGCAGCAAGATAAACTCTTCAAATGGAACCGTACCCATCGGCCACATCTGTTTTTTCCACTTTTTCTTTTGCCCTATCATGTCATCTACGAGCGTGCGAGTGTGTGTGTGTTTCTGCACAAGTGTTTCTGTGTATGTGTCAGTCTGTGTGTGAGTGAGTGTGATTGTCCATGTGACCAAAACTCAGAATCAGGAAACTGTGTGACGTCTGTGGGGGAGTGTAACACATTTGTTTGTGTTGACTGTTGAAAAGCGGACCTCGTGTCGGCTGATAAATGTAGCAAAATGGCACTTTTTTTAAACAAAGTTTAATTTTTGTTTTTTTGAAAAAGACTCCTATGGACTTTTTAAGAGAAAAGGCGGAGCAGACGTCTTCATCCTGCCCTCCTCTCAGTCGAGCATTATAGCGCAGAAGTAAACTTTGATCTTTACTGTGGGGCGGTGCGAAAAAACTCTGAACGGACTTCGTATCTCATGTACATATGTGAAAACGTCATGCATCAAAGTGCACCATACCAAAAAGGATCACTTCCTGTTGAGTTGTATTCTGATCTGCTATGCAATCTTTTTCTCCATCCCTCTTTGAGGATGGAGTCTTCGTTCTGTTGCAGACCCACGATATAAGCTTGTTTTATTGCTTGAAAAGTCTCTTTTTCCTGTGTGAATATCCCCTCAGAGGATATTTGGTGTCAAAATGCTACGATACAGTGAAAACAAAAAAACTGCTTCTGATTTTTAAAAGATGATGATAATAGCAACATACACTTTATTCTAAAAGACTTTAATAGCTGGCGTACAGATGGAAGAGATGAGTATTTTATTAGACTTATTTTGCTTCAAACTAATGTTCTTCTCAGGCAGAGCGTCTCGACTCTTTGAGCCGCTTCGGTCACGGCGAGAACGAAGATTTCTTAGAGCTAAACGTCTTTGTTTGGACGGACAGAGAGCACTCAGAGAAACGGGGATGATGGGATTGTACGACCCCTCCCCCCCTTAAGAGACCATCATCACGGAAAACCACAGTATAGATTTATTTTGTTATAAAATATATATGTTCCCACATGAGAATATATCAAAGCAGGCCGGCGTCTTCAGCCGATGGATATTGTTGTTAAAGATCGATAAACATTGTCCACTTAGTATTTTTCTGTATCAGAAAATCACTGTGTTTACATAGGTGGATCAGCTCATTTCAGATCTGTCTCTAATTTCATATTTCAGAGGGGAAAATAGGACGACACACGTTAGTGAGATCCTTAAAAACTCAACAGCTCAACCATATTGTTTCCTTTACCCATATACTTCCCCCCCCCCCATTTAAACGGTACATGTTTAAACCCAGCAAACTGGATTAAGAATAATCCGAGAGTGTTCAAGCCCGGTTCTACAAGAAGTGGCAAAAGGACACATGGCACCCTCAATTGAATGGATGCGATAAAACTGCACCCCCTTAAATCTCAGTTGCGCCCTAAAGACCTTTGCACACAGAGTCCGTAGACTTTTATGTCCGAAATTGAAGCACGTTAAAAAAAGAAATAGAATCTCATGTTATGTCAAACATGTTTGCACACTGACTGCGAAATGTTCATCTGTCTTTTAAAAAAAAAAAAATACAGAAACTCTCCCTTATAGACAGGTGAAACTCTCCCTTATAGACAGGTGAAACTCTCCCTTATAGACAGGTGAAACTCTCCCTTATAGACAGGTGAAACTCTCCCTTATAGACAGGTGAAACTCTCCCTTATAGACCGGTGAAACTCTCCCTTATAGACAGGTGAAACTCTTTTATAGACAGGTGAAACTCTCCCTTATAGACCGGTGAAACTCTCCCTTATAGACAGGTGAAACTCTTTTATAGACAGGTGAAACTCTCCCTTATAGACGGGTGAAACTCTCCCTTATAGACGGGTGAAACTCTCCCTTATAGACGGGTGAAACTGTCCTCGCTCTTGCCTTGTTTTCAGGCGTGGACAGACACCGTTGTTTGAGTACGAGACATTTTGTTTAATACTGCCAATTTTCGCAAAGAATAGAAGAACTAACGCAGCGGACTCGGAGTGTGTGCGTTACATTTTTTTTATCGTTCTGAATCTGAAAAACGGACTCGGTGTGCAAATGCCTTCAGTCTTTTTGTTCTTGAGCCGGGCCTGAAGTGTTTCAAATTAAGCAAAAAGAAGTTCCAATTTATCGCCCTGATGTCTAACCAATGTGGGAAATGACAAACAAACCACTCAGAAGACATAATTATTATTAATAATAATAATAATAATAATAATAATAATAATAATAATAATTGTATTTTACAATCCTAGATCTACCTGCCATTAAATGATGTAGACGTGATATTTTTTACCCCCCAAATAATGTACTCCTGGTCAGCCCAGCTGTCAAGTTAAACTCTTAAATGTATCTTTGTATAACAAATTGAATTGTAACAAATGTTAACCCATTTTTGATTTGTCCAATTTGACTCTTAATTCTCTCCGAGGTCGGCACGACTTCTCTTTGTGGAGACAAAAAAGAAAAATGCTCTACGTGTAAAAAAAAAAAAAAGAAAAAAGACGGCTAACGGATAAATGAAACTTTTATTCGCTAAGAAAAAACAACCACAAGTGAATTCTTTGGACTTTAAAACATGTTGTTTTTTTTTTTTTTGGCGTATTATTCTAAGCCCTGTCATGACACAAGCTACTAAAGCGTGTTTTTAGATGTACTGTTAGGTTTAATATTTGGTTCTTTCTAAGCTGTTAACAGACGTCGAGGATCTTTGATTGTTTCACGGGAAGATTTGATTGACCTCCCCAACAGCTGCTGGCATGAACTTTTTCGTTTGTCCAAAATTATTTCTTCTTTTTTAAGTCCTTGGACGTCATGCACCATTATTTTCTTTGCCCTTATTCTGGGTTGTACGATTATTTTAGGTGTCTCTCCTTTTTTTTTATTTGAAGCTCATCTTTTTGTGGGTGTCCCAGACATGATGATTGGATTGAGATTTACCAGTGTTCCCCCAGTTTTGCTTCACATCTGTATTGGGCTTTGTTAAAAAAAAAAGGAAATAAAACACTTCTTTTTAAGAAAATAATACTGTTTGGTGTTTTTCTTGATTCACGTGATGCAAAATCCACTTCACCATGTTCCTCTAACTCTGTGTCTCTAGTCCGTCTACAAACCCCCTAATGATGAGAAAAGTCCATCCTCTCCATCTTTAACCTGCTCCACTTTTCAGAAAATGTGTGCTCAAACAGGCCGTTTGGAGATTTTCCCTTTATGACATCACAAAGGGCAGTAGCCCCTCCCCCAGGTGGGTGACACTCCCACAGCTAGGTGTTTGTTCTGCCCTCTGAGTCTGCCTTCTCACTGTAAACAATAGAGCTCAACAGTGTGGATCCAGAAGTAAAAATCCCGTTCATTACCTCCATAGTTGATTTGATGATTAGCCATTATGTCATAACCATCACAGGTGGACTGACCACGAGCTACCTGAGTGTGGAACGGTGGCTAACGCTCCTGAAGAAGAAACAAGTTCACAAGATATCAACCTCGCTTTCAGAACAACATGGTTTATTCAACGATATCAGGGACAAGAACTATACTACCCATGATCACAGAGTGACGTCTCTGACTTGTGGAGCTGTCTGTTACCATGGTAATGTTTCCTGGCGCTCTGTGCTGAATGCGAAAGGATAGTTTTGCTAACAGGCTAGCTAGTAAGTTAGCTAACAAGAAAAGTACTATTAACTTTGTGATGCTGCGGTGAATGTAAATTATGTATTCAACATCACATTACAACACCTGTATGAACAGTATAAACCCGATAACGACTCGTTACATTTAAGAAGAGGGATCATTTGCAATGCATTGTGGGATAGGTAGTTCCTTGTATGTATGTTTATATATTTTATGAGCTCCAGGAGAGTTACAGCTTCCTTCCAGCCAATGAATATGCTGTGTTTTGCACACACTGCAAGTTTCTATTTTCAGTCGCCAATGCTGTAAATGCCAACACACAAAGCCATATTATTACGTGCACACGCGCCGATACGATCTTCAGTGACGGGCTGGTCAGGAGGAAACCTTTGCCTGTTACCTTATTTGACCAGAGCAGGTCAACAATCTGTGGATCAATACAAGTGGGCTTGCGGTAAAATCAACGTGTCCCCATTTGGAGGTTTGGAAATACAATCAGCCTGACACTCCTCCAGTGCTATCGTTAACTGACATAATTTAGCGCCTAAGATGCAAACTAATACCTTTGGTACCTCACCTGTAATGACCCTGTGCTTGACATAAGATAACAGTGTAGGAGGGTCAGGGAGATTAGAAGCAGCATTGTAGTCTGTGTGGGTGGGAGCTTAACTGTTTGAAAGACTCTTTTCTAATTCTGAAACACAACAGGTTTATTTTTCCATGAAGCCTCTTCTCAGAACTGTAAGACCATCTGTTACTTGAGAGAAGCAGGTCAGAGGGTTTTTTCACAAGTAATGTTCACAATTCTTTATATAAGCAGGCTGTGGACATCACAGAGTCTTAAGTGATGTCCTTAACATGTCCAATAAAAAGTGTCACAGTACCTGCTACATGACATCAGTTTGCATGGAGAACCGTGCGCTAGTGTTGTATTAAAGACCACACTAACCAAGACCAAGACAAACCTGGGACTGCTGAGCTCAGAGTCCGAGACAAGAGCAAGGCATCGAGATCGAGTCAATACAAAGACCAAGACCAAGACCCAGAATGTAGAACCAGAATACGCTGGAAGGATTATCCCTACTGGCCGGGGAACATTTTGGGATTCCCCGAGAGGAGAGGGATGTCTGGGACAACTTTCCTACCGACCGGATGGATGGACGGACGGATGATGGATGGATGTATGTACGGACGGATAGATGGAAGGAAGGATGGATGGATGGATGGATGGACGGATGGATGATGGATGGATGGATGAATGTATGCACGGACGGATAGATGGAAGGATGATGGATGGACAGATGGACAGACGGATGATGGATGGATGGATGGACGGACAGATGATGGATGGATGTATGTACGGATGGATAGATGGAAGGATGATGGATGGACAGATGGATGGATGGATGGATGGACGGACAGATGATGGATGGATGTATGTACGGATGGATAGATGGAAGGAAGGATGGATGGACGGATAGATGGAAGGATGATGGATGGATGGACGGACGGACGGATGATGGATGGATGTATGTACGGACGGATAGATGGAAGGAAGGATGGATGGATGGATGATGGATGGATGGATGGATGGACAGACGGATGATGGATGGATGGACAGATGATGGATGGATGGACGGATGGATGGACGGATGGACAGACGGATAATGGATGGATGGACGGATGGATGGATGGATGGACGGATGGACAGACAGATAATGGATGGATGGACGGACGGATGATGGATGGATGGACGGACGGACGGACGGATGATGGATGGATGGACAGATGATGGATGGATGGATGGATGAATGTATGTACGGATGGGTAGATGGAAGGATGGATGGATAGATGGACGGATGGACAGACGGATGATGGATGGATGGATGGATGAATGTATGTACGGATGGGTAGATGGAAGGATGGATGGACAGATGGACAGATGGACAGATGGACAGACGGATGATGGATGGATGGATGGACGGACGGATGATGGATGATGTATGTACGGACGGATAGATGGAAGGATGATGGATGGATGTATGTACAGACGGATAGATGGAAGGAAGGATGGATGGACAGACAGAATATGGATGGATGGATGGACTGACGAACAGATGGACCGATGGATGGACAGACGAATGGAAGGATGGATGGATGGATGGATGGATGGACAGATGGATGGATGGACGGATGGACAGATGGAATATGGATGGATGGATAGACAGACGGACAGACGAGCAGATGGACCGATGGATGGACCGACGAATGGAAGGATGGATGGATGGATGGATGGATGGATGGATGGATGGATGGACGGATGGATGGATGGATGGATGGATGGATGGATGGACGGATGGACATACGGACGGAAAGGATGATGGTTGGATGGAATAATCTTGTGAGGTGTACTTTTATTCTTCATAGAGCTCAAGTGGAACATTTGTACAAGGCCAATATGTGAGACTATTGTAAAGGTTTTTCTTAATGAACCATAAATCTACGAGGGGAGCCTCAAGCAGAAGCTAACACACCCAACCGTCTGTATGCTAGCATGGCGTTAATCCAAACTGTCAATCAAATGTTTTACTTTAAACGACACAAATACAAACTGTTCTGTCAGCTGAGGGAGATTCATATCATCACACAGGTTTATCTTTTTACTACCAGCATGCTGGAGAACAAAACCAGTTCTTCCAGTCACAGCTGAAGGGAAGCCTTCACTTTGTGTTCACACACATCTTTGATGTTTGGCACTCAGTGGACGTGACCTTTAGACCAGACATGGAACCAAAGTAGGACAAAATGTTCTGTTCACTTTTTTAAATTTCTTCATGTTCCTCTGCAAAGGCGGAAAGTTTTCATGTCAATTCATCTGACAGCTGTGAGAGTTTTTATTAGCTCGTAATAGTTCTTTTTTTCATCTGCAATCCAGTTCACTTCAGGAGGACTGCCCCTGAAATCCTCCTGACCTGGCTGTTCACACATGCACCTCACAGCTGTCAGATGGGAGGGGGGAGCGGGGGGGTCTCCTGAGGCAAGACATGGTGTAACAAGAACGACATCAGGAGTTTTCTGCAAGTGAGAAATCCCTAAATGATGCAACACTTAATAAATAAAGCACTTTGACATTTTTAAACACAAACTTCTCTTCTTTTTTTTCCCTCTTTGGAAAATGAGGCAATCCACGTTATTCAAGGTTGAAAGTCAGGAGTCCACATCTGCTCCAGTCTGTTCCAGATGGGAATACATTCATAAAAAATATAGAACAACCTTTGGCTGTAAATATTTCTAAAAGTAAAGTGTCCTCATGACACGGTGTACATTACTCCGTTCAGCTCGTGATATGATTACGAGCTACTTTATGAGATCATGAGCGGTAAAGTTAATGGATATTGTTGGTTTTACAGCTGTGATTAATGGTCATAATCTGCGGGGAAATATTTAATGGAAGGGATTTGAACTGGCTCAGAGTTTACACAAGGACAGATACTGATATTATGAAGCAAATCATACGTAGGAGTGACACTGAACCGCAGCTTTTACGAGCTCCCTTTTTGGATTCAGCCCAAAGTAAGAACTACACTCAGAGTTCCACTTTGGTAAATGCAAAAGGTTGTGTTTTTTTTGTTTTTTTTGCAGATGCTTTGGACTTTCCTTTCCTTGTCTCGTGTCCTTTAAGAGGAGGAATTCTTCCTCTTTTAGGTCACCCTCGGGGAACTGTAATGCAGCCACACCAGTTCCAGCTCTGTAAAGGATGAGGTCTTTCAGATAAGGCCCCGGGTTCAGACGGTTTATCTCAGAAAGTGCTGATAGAGGGAGCAGAGGCTCGGGGCATTGCACAGCACTCTGTTAATGTTTCACAGAGATATCTGCAGCCCTGATGAGCCCCTCTAGGAAAACGGATCTCAGGGAAGTAAATCCAGGAGCAAAGTCCAGCAGCCGTCACCCCACCAAGTATGAACAAGCCTGCCGTGATGAGCGATGTAAGTCTCAGGCCTCAGTATGACCTACAGAGTGATTCCTTTCTGATTTGATGCAAGTACGGTATTTGTATTCTGCTTTTGTGTTTTTTCCCTTTCCTCCACATTTTGGTGACAAGGAGGGAAAGTTTGTTAGTCTTCTGTACACTACACATCCCCTCCCTTCATCTTCTTATATAACATCTATTATAACTGTAACATCTATACTGAACTCGACCACTGGACCCCAACAAACTCACTCTTCTATCCATCTGAAGCTTCAAGTCTCGCTGCCTAACTCTGAACTTTGAAAATCAGGTAAGATAAGATAAGAAACACTTTATGGTCCCCAAGGGAAAATTAGTTTAAATGCTTGTTTCGTGCCTTTTTTCCCCATCTATAAAATCTAAAATAATCCGCCTCTCAGTGTCAG